ATAACCATTCTTAATTTCTTATCTAGTTTTACACACACACACACACAATGCTGACAAACTTATCCTTAGAAAAGGTGAGTTAAATTTTTTATATTTCAGCCTTGGGGACCTCAGAGATTCAGCCTGGTGACAAAACCTTGAACTCTCAGTGAAGCCACCCTGATCCCACAGTGCTAGGATCACAGGAGTGTGCCGCCACAGCCTGCTGTGTTATTTTATTTATTATGGTGGTGTTTTTTGCTTGCCTGTCTGTGCCACAGTATAACGTCATGTGAGCAGGAGTGTGACCATGTTATTTACTATGTGCAATCTGTAGGCTGGCCCTCTTCACGGGTCCCCCAAGATTAGTAAAGAAACTCAATGATCTCATTTAGAGTAAAAAGTTTAGAAAAGTTGAGGTCAATTTGATATTGGCACAACATCCAAGCGCATGATTGTTTTTACAGTAATTTGTTTTTAGTGCAGTTCATAAAAGTATCAAACTGTGCAAATTGGATAACAGTCAATTGGGAAAAAAAAAAACCAACTGATCTTACAAAACAATTTGAAAAGTACTGTCCTGAGATAGTTTCTGGCACTTAGTAATAGTTCATAACTATTTTTTAATAAATAAAGAGAAGAATAAATGCCTAAAAAATAAATGTTCACATAGTAAAATTGAGGGTCAAGTCTGTATGCATTCCTGTCAGTCCTAGTGAACAATTCAAGTGGGTGGATCAGTGGCAAAGTGGCTTGTGTCATGCATTTCCTGGGATGCCATGTTTCTCTCCCTGTGCCATGAAGCAGTACACATCAGCCACCTAGGGACCTCTGAAACGCTGGCGAAAGGGGCTGAAGGCAGCTGTACCCGAGTCCCATGCACAGACTCCTGTCTCTGCATGGCTGCTCTGAGCGGAGGTGTGATGGAAGCTTTAGATCAATTCCCAGCTCCTGACCCAGCCAGCGTCTCTTGGGAATGGTGAAGCTCACTGCACATGAAGAGGCAGACCTGCAAGAAGCTAGTATGTGTCTGCTTTTTAAAGATCACAGCCAGGGTGCTGGTCTACACCTGTAATCCCAGTTCTCAGAAGGCTGAGGCAGGAAGATCATCACCATTTGAAGATCAGCCTGCACTACTTAGTAAGAGCTTCAACATACATACATACATACATACATGCATACATACATACATACATACATCACAATGCTTTTCTTTGGCCTACCAATAAAACAATGAAATAATGGGTCCAATAATTAAACACACAGCTTTAATTTGCTAAATGTCTCTAGAGGATACTCTCTTGTTTCTATAACTGATAATACAAACAAAACATTTGTTTTATGTCAGTTCATCTTTGCTGCTGTCCAAGATCAGGCAAATTTGACTCAGATAAAATGCTGTTTTCTTGCCTAACCTTTCTTTGCTTCCCTCCCTACCCAAAACATCAACAACAAAAGGAAACAGCTTGGATTATCGTAATTTGCTATACCAGTTATCTATTTGGGAGTGACTATAAAACAATTTATATGGTTCTAGGATTATTAAAAATACATTTAAATTTTTCTGACTTGCTTATTCAAATAGAGTCTCATTCCATTCTTGTTTCAATTATATTTCATCACAGCACTGTAAGCTCAAGAATTCAAAAACCGAAGCCTAGAGTTGGGGCTGGAGCTCAGTATAGATCCCAGGCAAGTGGAGGTCCTGGGTCCCATCCTCACCAAGAATACTGGGAAAGGGGCTCAGCATTAGAGCAACTGCCTGACACACACAAAGCCCTGGGCTCAGTCACCAAGAATGGGGACCTGCTGGTTAGCTCAGTTAAGTGTCTGCTCATGCAAATGCAGTCAGAGGCAGGATATCTCAGTGGGGTTTGAACGCACCTCCGCTTGCTTTACCAGACCTGCCCCTTAAGGCAGGCTGAAGTGCCCCCCCCCCCGGCAAAAAAAAAAAAAAAATCCTTCTCAATCACCAAGACTATAAAACTAAAGAAAAATACTTAGTCTAAATTGTAAGAGGAAAATCCATAACTGTGTAGCCATGACCCCAGAGAGTGTATGATCTACATGAAAATAACTACATTACAAAAGGGTGAGGTTAAGGACTATGCTCACAGCTAAAGGCCACAGAACCAGGGGAAAAGGCCACAGGGTGCAGGACAGCATGAACAAAGTCACGAAGGAGAGAAAGAACATTCCGGGCATGTGGGGGAGTAGAGAGCAGCTTAGGGCTTCTGAAATACAGAAAGAGAAAGAGACATGGTAGAAAGGAGTTCGAAAGGAAGATTAGGACCAGAGCAGAGAAAGCCTTGACTGCCATGTGCACAGCTTAGTGAGGGTGCTGTGATGCGCGGTGTGGCGCAGGAAGTGCTGTGCTCAGATTATTTATGCTGTGGAAAAAGAAAATTGACAGGGGAAGGCACTTAGGATGCAGTTGGAGTCTTCTGTAGGACAGTGGCTGTGCTCTGAGATCATAATGTCAACTGAAATAAATCAGACACACAGGCTTAGCCATCACACGGTTCCTCTTATACAAGAAACTCAAAATAGAGATAAAGAGCAAAAACAAAAACTAGATAACAGGAAAGAGGGAGATACAACTTTCTCAAGTCAAAAGCAAACAGAGAAATGGAGGGGAGAAAGAGGGCAGGAAAGGGGTGAGAAGAGGAATTACGTGTACCGCAAACACGTACTCAAAACAAATAAAGGCTGGCCATAGAGCTCAGCGGACTAAAACGCCTGCTTAGGCAGAGCGCAGGAGCCGGGGTTCGATCCCCGGCGTGTCTTGCTGGCCCCACCCCTGGGATGCGCTGAGAGGGCGACTGAGACTGGGCGTAGTGGAACGCGCCTGTAATTCCAGCGCTTGGGAGGCTGAAAACACTATGAGTCCGATCTGTGTAGTGAGACCCTGTAGACCCTGGACTAAATACGTTAAAATAAATAATTAAAACAAAACAAAACAAATAAGCAAATAAGTAAAATGAGTTCACACACACACAAAAAAGAATGTAAGGGAAAGTCACCATCATGCTGATACTAAAACCTGGTTTCAAATAGAAGGAAGGAACAGCTGCAAATAAGCCTCTCATACAAGTCCCTACTAAGTTCAACCTTAGAGGACATTTTTCTAAAGCCTGGAAGGATGATTGTAATCCAACAAGTATTTTTCCCCTTTAATAGCTGTTAGTTTAAACTATGGTATGATTTTTGTTCTCACCATAACTTTGGGCCTTACAGTAAGAAGTTTGTCTCCTAACTCATAGATTTGTATAATTTTATCAATAACGATACCCACCACGGCCACTAACACGTGATGAACCCTTTCTGTGAGCCAGGCACTGTGCTGTGCTTTTCAATGACACTAGTATGTTTAGTCCTCCACACAACCTTCAGTGTACATGTGCAGGTACTGAGGTAAGGCGTTACCTACCCTGATTAATACCACCCACAGGAACAGAGATCTGAATTCAGGCAGGCCTAACTCCAGAACCTGTTCCTTTAGCTATTCGGCTGTACTTTATTTTTCTTTTCAGGAATTATATGAATGTTAAAGTAAACTGCCACACTAGAACAAAGACCACATGAGACAAACAGGAAGATGAGAAATCAAAGCATGTCAGAAATCACATTAAATGTAAATGTACTAAAATGCAAATTAAAAGATAGAGGTAGCCTATTTGGATAGACAAAAATACCAAGCAAATTTTTGCACAATGGATTCTCCCTCGTCCCACTGCCTTTCCCCTAAATACTTGGTTTCATTGTTCCGTTCCTACTTCTACCTCATTGTGGCCTTATTCCTCAACACTATCTGGTTATTAGGACACAGTGCCTTTGGCAGGTCTATCACTTACTGCACATCACTGTGAAAAGTTCTGCTATAACAGATTCACCCGCTTGTTTCTCTAAGAGTTTAAATTCCATGTGGACTGAGAATATAAAACATTTACTCTTCATTTCCCACTTTATATTATACTGCCTTGTCATAGAAAAACAGGCTAAGTAGAAGAAATTTGGAGAGACTTGAGAAATGACTGTGTCTTTCAGAAAAATGAATGATTTTGTCTTTGAGTGTAGTATCAATTCTTTAAATTGAAAGGTTTCTATTCTTGGAAAAGTCTACATGATCCTAGTCTCTTCTGGTTCATAAATACTTTTCTAACTTGTTTTCTTTATTTTGCCTTCCGGAAGTATTGATAATTATAGCCACCTACAAGCCTGAACCAGGCTTCTACCATATCAGTAGCAAGGAATTTAGAAAAAGGACCAGAAACACCCATTTCTCAAGGTGTGTGGCAAGACATTTGTCTACTTGCTGAAAGAATGACCTCACTGCCCAAAACACAGAACCATCCCCCAAACCTCTATGCTTTTCCAAGCCCGAGGTTTTGGCTCTAAGCAACCTGCTCCTCTAAATCCCCCCCCCCTTTTTTTTTCAAAATTTTATTGATAAACAGATAGTAATGAGACAGTTTCAAATCAAATCGGAACTACAGATTCAACAAATAACACACTGCATATATTCTTCTTAGTGGTTAATTGCTGTACAAGATGCGGACTTGAGATCCTATTTACAAACACCATTAGAACAAATCACTCTATTAATTAAGAGAATGTAACTATATATCTATCCTAACCACTTTGAATACACAGATACAAAATGGACATTCATCTGTATACCCCATTTTTCCTAAGTTCCGTTTTTTCACCTTTTCTTTAACAAAATGAGGTTCTAGAAGTTTTCTGATTTGAGGTTCTTACAAATACAGGGAAAAGTAGGGACACTGATATTCATTTTCTTCCCTCAGAAATGTACATTGAAGCGGCATGAGAAGCAGTAACTTTACCTTTAATGCAAGTCTTGCTTCCAGCCTGGATGGCTTCCCCAACCTGAACTTTCTGCCAACACTGCTATTTCATTGAGTCCTGCCTTATGGACAGTCCTAGGCAAAGAGCTGACTGAAAAGTGCACAGACACGCAGGCGCTAGAAGCAGCATTTGAATCAACTTGTCACTCTTACCAGGTTTACAAGGGCCTTCCCAGGGGCTCAATCCGTGGGGATCTGGGGCAGCGTGACCTGTCTGAGGAGACGGTGCATCAGTCCTGGCAAGTGAGTGCTTAGAAAGAACCAGTGAGAAACATTACTTTTATCTTCTGATGAAACAGCTTAAAGTCAAGGCTCCATTAAACTAAGGGCCCCTTAGCCTTCACTTTAAGGGGAAGAGGGTAAGTGGACCGGTCCATTTATATGCAGCTCCCATCTCACCCAGAATTAAATAAATGTCCCCTCCTAAGGGCAACTAAAAGCAGTCTCAACACCTTTTGCTTCAGTCATTTATTTCCTCTTCTGTACAAGTTAACCTGGCCCCCTCTCAAATTAATTATAGTCCAGAATAGAAAAAACAGTTCTATGCTAATTTTTACCTTTCCTTAATTTTTATCAAGAAAGAAATAAGAAAACCTATAGGAAGGTATTAATCTACTTAACATTTCTAAGTACAGCATCCAAAGGATTTTGTTTTTTTAATCTTACATATGCTCAGCAGAGTTACTGGCAAAAACTGTACATTTTCTTCATTTCATCCTTTCAACATCAAATAGTAGGCAGCAAAAATTGGATCAGACTTCAAAGCCTGCTGTGGGCTCCAAGTCACAGAGAGACGCCTCCATTTCACATATTGAATTCGAGCAGGATATCAAAGTGCTACCAAAGAACCTCGGGTCCTCACTCAGAAAGAGGCTCCACCATCTGCGGAGTGGAGTGCTCACAGATCACCTCAGGGAGCAGCTAGCATTTATTCTCAGCAGCAAATTTCCAGGCTTTTGATTCTCCTCTTCACTGTACCTCCCTGACTCTCTCCTGAACCAAAGTTCTTTAGCAGGCTGGGCTTTTGTCTCAAAGACTTCAAAATACCACTAACAGGTTCACGTTTAGCTGGCCCAGCCAGCACGCCACAGACAGGCTTTGCTGTATGACTCGGACAGTTCTGAAGGTAGAGCATGGGTTCTTCAAAATAAGACATCCAGCTACCTTATGTACATGTCCTGCGAAGACATCGCACTCTCTTGGAGAACTCCGGGCTTGTAAATGCCTAAAAAAGTAACAATAATTTTTAAAAGGCTTTAAAATGATAATGAAAACCAAAATTTTAAAGAAGATTATTTTCCTCTAAAGAAGTATCAATATATATCTAGCTTTCTTTGTTTCCAAGCCAATGCTTGCTTTTAAGGTCACTGTCACCGTAAACAAATGCACATCCTGGTCACTGTTGCTTCTCTGTGTCACAACACATTCACAATGTGCCTGAAGTCGTAGGTCTCAGGAAACAGACTCTGCCATGTTGTGGGGTTGAGTTTGGGGTACTGAGTATTATCAGGCTGCCATAAACTTTCCCAGGAAGATGAAAAGAGTTAACAGTGACATTCCATACTCATTGCTTCTATCGTTCAAGAATTTAAAATGGGTTCTGAAGTCAAATGCTTGGGATGACACAGGATACATAGCTGGAGAGGATTACTACCTCAGGAGTACTCTTTAAACAATCCCAAGATACTTTTATGGAACTCTATGGCAGAAGCACAGGTTGAATGAAGTTTCTAAGCAATTCCTATCTGATGAAATACTAAGTTTTCATGGAACAAAGTTTGGAAGATGTAAGAATCAGTATGTTTCATCAAACATAGCTATATGATCAAGTACAATTAAACTGCAATTAAAATAGTAGCACACTATTTACACACAATTAAAATAGTAGCTTCTGTGACAATGCCTTCCAGATGGGACCCAGCAGACAGGAAAGGAAAAGGGAGCTTCCTCAATGTCCCCAACCACACCTGCACACACACATGCACATACACATGTGCCTGCAAACCCTACACACATATGCACACAATATACGCAGCTGCGCCCATAGAAAAACTATGTTACTGGATAATTATTCTTTAGTATCCTTTAGTGTATTTCTCATATACCCATTTTTTTTTGTGGTACCAGGGATTGAATTCAGGACCCTGCACTTGCCAGGCAAGAACTTATTCTACTGAGCTATCTCTCCAGCCCTCTCATATTATACCCAATGAGGAAATTGAGACAAGTTGTCCCTATGGCCTCTTCCAGTTCTACATTGATCATCTTATTTTTTACTTAAACTGACAAGTTCATTTATGAACTTATTACCTGTAAGCCATTTGGTGATACTGTCAACAAAATGCATCTCTATGTGATAGAGCACAAGCAATATGCCTATCAAACATCACATCAATACTTTCCAGGAAAGGACTATAATAAAACTTTTATTTATGTGCATGTTTATCATGCCTCCATGAATTGGGGACTGGGATTGCTTTATTTCACAATCTGTATCAGCATCTAGCCCAGTGCCTGGCACTGAGCAAATGCTCAATAAATATTAGAACATTTCAGTGGGCCCCTAAGATCTGAGGTGACCTGCAAGAATACCCTTAAAATTAAAGTTAATTAATATAGCACTACAGCACTGTAGCAATATAGCACTTCCTAATTTAAAAACAAATGCTTTTAAGAATCTAGTGAAAGCCTCACACCATTTGAGCTAAATACAACTGAAGAAGAAACTGAGGTTCAGAGAGGTTAAGAGATTTCCCCAGGTACCATGATGAATACTAGGTAGAGGTAAGACTTTAACCCATGTTCTTCTGGCTCCCAGTTCTCTGAACCATGTTTTCTCCAGAGATGTTTCCCAGTTTCTGGGCATCAACCCAAGGGACTTACTTATGTCAATAAATGAGTGGCCCAAGACCACATGGTGCCACAGTGCTACCATACACATGCCTCCTCTCAGGGCACAGGAAGAGCAATGCACATGGGAGAAGCCAGGAGGTCACCATTTTAATCCAGGACTGAGTCTCTGCAGCTAATGCCAAGACAGCACTGTCTTGGGAAGCCAGGCAGCATGAAAAACTCATCTTGAAGGACCCGAAGCAAGCCCAGGTGCCTTAGGACACTTATAGGACAGGTGCCTTCCAAATTGTACTGGGAGGCCTGGTAAGCTTTGGAGGAAAATGCAAGGAAGAGAATTTGGCTGTTCATTTACTACCAGCCCTGAAAATCCTGACTTTTCTGTCCCCTAAAAGAAAGTTATACCTCTTAAGTACTCTAAAGACCCACAGACCAATTCAGATGCCTTCCAACTCTTCCCGTGGAATGGCTCACCCTCCTGTCTCTCTCCTCATTTAAGTCTTTCAAAGGATCGGAAGCAGTTCAATGTAGTGTTCATATGCATTTCTTGCCTTGAAAAAGGCAGGCTGAACTATGCTGGTAAGGGAATAGTGACCATAGACGAATAGATGAGAAAATATTTGGTCACACAAAGTTAAGCAGGATCCTTTCCCGAGAAGCTTTCCAGAACCATGATAACAGATCAATAAAACCCCAAGAGAGGAAAAGAACAGGAAATCATGCCTAGACATGAGCAGCAGTGCCTTCTCCTACAGAGTACCCTGAAGGACTCTCGGTTCTTAGGACACTCCTTGGGAAACACTGACCTGAGCAGTTCTTTTCAGAACAAATTTCAATTTACTTTTAAGATATAGTACAAGTCAATTTTCATCACAAGTCTAACTGCCTCAAATTCCTTTTCAGTGATTTCGTTAGGCTTTCTCACCATGCACACATATGTGAAGACATCAGCAAGTGGACACTGCTCTGCAGTCCATCGCCAGCCAAATAGGAAAAGCACAGTAACAAAAAGATTGTGCTTATTGCACGCATATGTGCATATGTGCCACCAGGCATCAGGCAATCCGGAATGTACTGCTGTACAGCGATAACTATACGTAATACAGCCAACAGGATGTGGATGGATTCTGGATTTGCCATTTTGTTGTTGTTTTGTTTTTTTAAAATGTGTGGGGCAGCATTCCTAGCCCCTTACCCCTTTTTGAAACAAGGTCTCATTAAAGTCTTGAGACCCGTTTTTTTGTTGTTGTTGTTTGTTTGTTTGTTTTTCTGGTACTGGGGATTGAACTCTGGTCATTAAAGTCTTGACCTTGATTGGACTTGACCTTGCAATCCTGTTGCTTTGGCCACTGAAAGTGCAAGGATGACAGGTGTGCACCGCCATACCCAGCTGAATCTGTTTTCATACTCATTTTTACAGATGAGGGCGTTAAGGATCAAGGAGCTAATGACCTGCCTCATAACTGGTAAGCAGCATAGCGTAGGACCTGCTCACTGTGGAAAAGGAAATGCTAAGAGGAAATGATGGACTCAGGCAAGAATTTTCAATTGCTGATAAAACCATCAGACAAATGGCTGGAGGGGCCCAAGACCATATGGTGCCACAGCGCTATCATACACATGCTTCCTCTCAGGGCACAGGAGGAGCAACGCATGTGAGAGAAGCCAGGAGGTCACCATTTTTATCCAGGGCCAAGTCTCTGCAACACTAATGCCAAGACAACACTGTCTTGGGAAGCCAGACAGCATGAAGTACTCGAAACCACCCGGTATGTATGATTTTTCCTTTCAGTCAAAACATTTAACCTGAATCTAATTGAGACTTTAGATCTATCTTACAGTTTAGACAAAACATCAAACATCACAGAATGCAAGGAAGCAAGCAGATAAATACAGAAGATCAGCTAATTGAGAGGATAATCTGTACAATCTCTTAAAAAATCTGAGTCATGCAAACCAAGACTAAGACATAGCAACTTGATATAAATTAGCACTCACATTAGATCCTGGATTGGACAAAGAGGTGCAGAGGACATTCCTAGAATAATTGGGAAAATTTGACTATGTACTGATATTAGACAAAAATTGGGAAATTATTCATTTTTAAAGGGTAGTATAGTTTTCAACCTGCTGGAAACTTAAAGATAAGCATTCTCTGCCTCTGTTAGGAATCATATGCTCAGAGGCAGAAGTAGTGATTCTGGCTATCAAAGGGTGGTGAACAGGACCTGGTTCCAGAGCTCCACAGTGCCTCAGAAGTGGAGCTGTAGTCTCAAGCAGATCGCCTCCAGGGCTCAGCTGCTCCGCTCCAGTCTGTGCACTCAACTGCGCATTGTAGCAAAAAGGAAACGCTGTCACTGTTGAGAAGCCTTCTGCTGGGCATCTGCCCTGAAAAATACCCCAAGGGAAACTCCCATCTAAGTCTCTCTGAAACCCTCATGACCGGATGAGGGCAGGGAGCGTGTTGGCCCCTGAGTAGCTGGCTGCCGGGAAGCCTCAGCCTCTCTCTGCTTCCACAGCAAAGATCATGAAGCCAGCTGGCTCTGTCATGCTATGCTGGCGACACTAGGCGAAGCCACCATGGCCTAGGGACCGGAACCCAGATTCACAGGCTCTAAAATTAAATTTGTTCATTCACTGAGGGATGATGATTCTGGGGGGAGCTGCGCTGTACCAAGCAAACTCAGAAGAGCCACAGTGGAATGCCAGTATGGGATTCTGCACGGAGCAGTGTGTTCTGGATGTCCTTGTCCCCTCACTGGTTGGTTTTGCTATAGTTGGGAGAGCAAATTACACAGTGGAATTGGAGCCGGCAAGAAGAGTGCTCTCTGAGGATGTATCTGATTGGTCAGGGCTTTCCCACTTTGGAGCTAGAATCAGTTACTCTTCTCCTGTGTGACAGTGGAGACACACGGGCCACCTGCTGAGTCTCCATTCTCTTAGCTTCCTCAAATTACATTTTCTGTGTACTTGGTATTAATTTTGAGTTTCTTCAGATTGCCTTATCTTCTATCAATTGCAATAGCTCCTAGATGAACCAAGAAACTCATTAGTGCCTCACACATGAAAACATATTCTAATTTCTAAACAGGATAGGTTGCAGCTCATTCATCATGGGTTGATTTTTGTTAGATTCCTGCTGTCTCTAAATTTAGGGAGCATTTTTCAATGCAAACTCATGACTTGGTGCCCTGGAAAAAAGCAAGCATAACCATGCAAATTTGTTCCTGCTTCTTTGATAGCCTTGAATAAGTACCTTTGGATCTTTTACTAAGAGGTAAATTTCTTGGTTCCAAGAAGGAGCAGATAGGCCGCCATACAGAAGATAAGCTCGGATCAGGATATTCGAACTGTGTAGAGCCCTGGGGCAGCAAG